AGGTGCCGCCCCAAGCACCAGCTTGGGTGCCTGGTGCCTGGAGCCGGCCCTGATTACTCATACAGCCCTTCAAACCATGCCCTCCCTCCCCCCCCAAATAAAAATACATCCAAAATGCACAACTTTGCATAGCCCCTTTTTCTGGAGACAAAGATCTACCTTCATATTAGATCACACCATTCACCTGCAGGTCTCAAAGCACTTCATAAAAATGAAGCTTCGCAATGCCCTCTGCAGGGCGGATAGTATTATCTCCATTTTATCAGGGTGGGGATTATCCATGAGTGTGAGAAGTGCTGCAACAAAAACGTCAATTAACTTTCTTGAGGCCACATTGCAAGTCAGTGGACAAGGCAGGGAAAGAACCCAGGCATCCCTATGCCAACCATTAGTGAATATTCTCATTAAATACTACCTTAGCTATAGCTCCTTCTCCTAACCTGATTGGGGATGCCTATGCAACACTCAAAAGTTGTCACTGCTCCAGCCACTCCTTCCTACCCTTGTGACATCCTGCCTATTAGAGGCATTTTCAAATCAACACTAGAGAGAGAAACAGGAAATAAAGGCTCCTACATTCCTTCCAGCTTTCAATCACGTTTCCAGAGCAATTGGGCTGGAAAGGTTGCTCACTGGTGAGCTCTGCTATGAATAGAAGCAATGAATAAATTACTGCAGCTGACAAATTAGAGCTGTAGAGCTTCTCCAGCAAGGGGGAAGGGTTCACAGAGAAAGCAGTGTGGTGAAAATCCATTCCACAACCCTGTATCTAGGAGAAAAAGATCCAACCTGCACAGGCTGCCTCTGGAACACATCCCCATCCAGAAGATTCCAGTCTTGCTCTTCTAGGAGCTACTACCACACTCTGCAAGAACAGGACCAGGCTTTGCCAGATGGGGAAGGGATTTTCTTGAATCATAATGGCTAAATGGCCTGAGTTTTATTGCTTGGAGAACTCAGCCAGGAATGGATTATCAAGTAGCATGTAAACCCTTTGAAAAGTGCAAAGACAATATCCACCTTCTGAAGCAGCAGTCTAAGGGCTAACGGTAAATTAATTAATTTCCACTCTGTACTTTAATGTGTCTAGGAATGGTGTGTTTTTGCAGACACCAGGTCTGATCCTAATGGGAGTCTCCAGATAGCTTGCGCCATATTTATTTGTGTGTGTGTGTGTATAGGGGAGTGGCGAACAGGGAGCCCAGAAGAAGGTTGGGCACCAGTAAATCTGGTTCCCAAGTCTGGCATATGGAATGAAATGTGTCCTCCTGATACATGGTTAGAATGGCAAGGACTTACTGGGGGATCAGAAGAGTCATTTCAACTTGTGAAATAGTTTCTTTAAAGAACACCACGCTCGCCCCACTTCCTCCTTATGTCCCCCTGTGCAGCTCCCATTGACGTGTGCTGCTGGCAGCTGCGGGTATGACAGGAAACATGGCTGTCTGTCCCATGCTTTAACAAGACCAAGAAACCTGGGGTTTTTCCCTGCTCTGCCACTAACTCAGTCGGTGTCCTTGGATGAATCAGGTAGCCTCTCTGTGTCTGTTTCCCCATCTCTAAGATGGGAATGCTATTTTGGAACATTGTGAAGCTCAATTAATTTGTGCTTGTAAACGTAACAGAGGAATTGCCCTACCAGATCACAGTCTACCTAGTCCAGTATCCTGCTCTGACTGTGATCAGCAACAGGTGCTTCAGAGTAAGGCACAAGACAGCACCTACTGGAATAACCTGTCCACAGGAAAATCTTCTTCCAAACTCCCATGAGTCAGAGGTGGGCTTAGCCCTGAAGAATGAGGGTTTATAACCCTTCTTAGGCTTTGGCTATACTGTGCGGTAGGGGGTATGAGTCCCCTGCTCATGTACACATACTCAAGCTAGATTGAAGAGAGCTAGTGTGAGTATAAATAGCAGTGTAGCCACTGCAGTATGGGTAGCAGCAGAGGTACAGCTTAGCTATGCCGAGTACAAATGTGCCAGACCCTTGCCGATATGCACATGGCATGGCTAAGCTGTGCCTATGCTACCGCAGTTACACAGCTATTTATACTCACACTAGTTCAATGAGAGCTAGCATGTGTACGCGAGCAGAGGAATCACACCTCTAGCTCATAGTGTAGATGTAGCCCTAGAGGGAAAAAAATGAATTCTTTCTAATATCACTGGGGATGTTCTCACTGGGTATATAAACGCCGAACTATTTTGAATCCTGCTAAGCTCTTGGCCTCAGTAGCATCTTGTGGCAATGAGTTCTACAGGCTATTTCATTTTATCAGTTTTAAATTAGCTGCCTTTTATTTTCATTGACTGTGCCTTTGTTCTCATAGTGTGGGAAAGGCTAAGGAAGCTAGAGAGGAGTCAAGGCATCCAGTTGGAAGTCTTGGAAAGCTAGAAAATAGAGGAAGGTTTTTATTCTTGAAATCAATTGGCTCTGTTTCATGGCTATTCATTGATAGCCATGAGACAGAGGCTGAAATTGTGTCGTGCATGAAATATTAGCCAGCCATCAATGTGGATATTAGAGGGGTTATTTTAGTCCTAAAAATAAGGAGAGTGCTTTGAATTCCTTGGGCAGAAAGGTGCAAACTATTAAAAATATGATCCTTGACAAAATAGCCTTCAGCTGCACTCAGTACTAGATGATAAGAGCTCTGGCCTGAAGAAGAGAAGTTACTGACTGCAGGAAGGGGGAGCGTTGGATGTGATGTTTACTTGCACTGGATTTGCATTGTTTCAGGCTTTTGAACTGGCTTCCTTCCTCACTTTGCCAACCACACCAGGAAGAAGGGATGGCTAAGCTCATAGCAACAATGAACACCACCAGAGGAGCCTATGGGAGCCCAGAATCCTGGAACCCAGAGCATACTGAGAATGCCTCCTTGCCCAACTTTACACTGCCTTTCACGTTTCGCCAACGGGCCACTGACCAAGCACTGACTGGAATCCTCATTGCTGTCCTCAGCATTGTCATGGTGTCACTGGGGTGCACCATGCAACTCTCCAAGATCAAGACTCACTTCTGGAAACCTAAAGGGGTGGCCATTGCTGTGGTGGCTCAGTATGGCATAATGCCTCTGACAGCGTTTGCCCTGGGCAAGCTCTTCCATTTGGGACCTATTGAGTCTCTGGCTGTGCTCATCTGTGGCTGCTGTCCAGGTGGAAACCTCTCAAACATTTTTAGTCTGGCATCAAAAGGAGATATGAACCTGAGGTAAGGAGAGCTCAGTACAACCTCACCATTGTCACTGGCCAGGCCATTTCAGTTGGGAGACTGGTCTACAGTCTAACTTATTAGCGCTCTCCATTCTAATGCTTCAAGCAGGAAGAAATGTGGTATTGTACCCAAAGTATTGTTAGAGTACTCATCAGCATGGTGCTAAATGCTGCTTAGTCACTATTGGTCCGGAGCAGCGCTCTGGCACCTAAAATCTAGAATACAGCTGCACTCCAGCACTTGGGGTCACACCACCACTAAGATTTGACCTGGCTACCCCTCCATAATGCCAGCCAGAGCAGTGGCCAAGCCAAATTTCAGTGGTGGTGTGACCTGAGGTGCCAGGTTGAAACACTACTCAAGTTTAGCCCAGTCACCCATGTTCCCTCTCGTTCCCCTCCTGCCAGAACCCACAGCAGCTACTCTTGGCACTGGGGAAGCCTCAAACCAGCAGGAAGGAGGGAGAGAAGGAGCAGAGTAGGGTGGAAGGGAGCCCAGCCAGCAGCTGGGTCCTGTTCTGCCTGCTGAGCCCTCCTGCCAGAACCCACAGCAGCTACTCTCGGTGCTGCTACTCTAGGAACCAGCAGGAAGCAGAGAGCCAGCCCGCAGGGAGGAGTGAAGTGGGCAGAGGACATAACACCCTCCCAGGAAACCAGGGTGAGGCTCAAGCCAGCACGGAAGGTAAGGAGCAATGTGGGGGTAGACAGAGAAGTAGGGAGAGTTTCCACCGGTCTTGCAGTTAGGACGCAGGAATTAGAAACCTGCACAGATTATAGCTTTAGGAGGAAAGAAACACTCAACAGAGGAAGACAAATTGTGTACTTTTGTTGGTGCCATAAGAAGAATTGATTTCAATACCTTCCCTGTGGCATGTTCATCAGTCTTGTTACTCAGACTGGCTGTGCTCATCTGTGGCTGCTGTCCAGGTGGAAACCTCTCAAACATTTTTAGTCTGGCATCAAAAGTAGCCAGACTAATTAGACTACATTTTACAAGCTACATTTCAAAGAACTTGATGTGAGTTAAATCTCTTCAACCCAAAATTCAACCCAATGGAAGATGTTGTGACCACTTACAAATTGACTGGGTAATTAAATCAATAGATTAGGGAGACAAAGGTCTATCTAAGCATGATGAAAATATAATGATAAATTAAAGCCAAATAGGAGTGGTCCCTGTTCTCTCAGCCTTTCATTAACAAATTCAACTGGTTGACATAAAATAAGGGTCTACCATGGGACTTTTGATTAGTTACTTGGTTGTTTTAATAGTGCTTTTTGTTGTGTGCATTTTATTTTTATTGCATGGCAATATGGATCCTTGTGTTTGGTCCTGTGACACAGAGACCACATTTTCAAGAGTGGGCTGCATATTTGTGACAACCTTGTTTACATTTGGTGCCCAGTCACGTAATTTGTGAATGCAGAAAAGCAAAAGCTCTATGTGCTCAAAAGTTGCAAGTTTGTCCATGGGCAAAACTGTAGGTTCAGATATAAAGATTTGGGGCTTGATCCCCCATTGCATTAACTCCCCTTTTATAGTGGTGTAACTCCGTTCAAGTAGAGTTACACCAACTTTAATCTGGAGTGACACAATGATGACTCCTGGCCATGGCTGAGACCCTTCTGAAAATTCAGCCAATTCAGCATAAATTCACATGCCACAGAGGCTTATGAGCAATTGCTGAAATTAACTAAGGAAAAGTGGCATTTCTCCCTATTAGCTCTCTGCTATTAAGCAAAGTATCCGATAGTGCATCTTTATCAATGAACTCATCAAAATGACAAGACTTTCTAGCAGACCTTTTTGTGCACCGTGATTTAGAATCCACTCAGCATAGATATTCCCATGTGACTACCATGCAAGACCACCAAATGGCAAAATACTGATCAAATATTTCATGATGCTTCTAAATCATCTCCTTAGGAAAAGTAATAATAGGAGAGGGTCAGAAATTCAGAAGGCAAGTCACCAATGGGGAATATATCCTGTGAAGGTCTTATGAAAACAGTGAAACGCTTCGTAGAATAAGCAGAAAAATACTACAAATTAAGGAGAGCTAGTAGATGGCACTTCTCTCCTCAGCATTTTTGTTTATTTTTAAGATAGCATTATAGTCTGAATCCCCTTAAAACACACCAAGTTTTCAAGTTGAGAGTCACACTTCTTTCTCAGCTACCATCATATGCAGTAGATCCAATCTACCTTTCTTCTAAAAAAGTTATGCGATAAATTTCATAAGTGGATGTGAAATCTGAGTAAAATTCAAGACCAATGTAAAATATTCTTCTGGCATCTTAAATACTTTATTTGAATTTTGCAGAGAATGTTTTATAAAGAGTATTTTACATGTTCTGCCGATGAGCTCTTTGACTAATTGCTTTCCCTGTGCCTTGCTACTTAGTTTAAAGTTTGACATAGAGGAGCTGAGCTACACGTGTTTTATATTAGAACAATATGTGTATTTATTACTAATGTGTGAAGTCTCACAATTACCGTTGCACCGATTTTCAATTAGATAAAATTTACCGGTAAAATTTTAGGTTTCAAAAATGGCTGCTTTATCTTACGATGACATCACATGCAAAATGGATTTTGAAGACTCTCACACACGCGATAGAATTACCAACTTGAGGGAATTTCTGCAGGGCTCCTGCACTGTACGGTTTAGCACTACATCACTGCTGTTGCATCATCAGGTGCATAATGGGGTTTTATACCTTTTTTGGAAGTGACCAACATAAGCCACTGTTGAGGGCAGAATACTGGCGTAAATGGACCATTGCTTTGTTCCAGCGTGGCAATGCCTACGTTTCTCGCCCCTTCACTATTTCAGTTATTAGTACTCTTAAGAGACCTCCTGCCGTTCCATGTAAATCAAGCAAGTCTTAAGGGGCTACCCCAAATAGAAAAAGATAAGCTCCCCAAAAAATTAGACTAGCATTGCCTCAGTCCAATGGCCCTTGTCCAAGATTAAAGAGTGGAAACAACAGCAACGGAAAGACAGCTGAACTTAGATTTCTCTGCATAGCTTCTGAACTTTTGCACTTTATGTACACGGATAACAAGAACATCCAGAGTTATAACAGGAAGTATTTAGAAACAAACCAACCCAAGAGCTTTGAAGATATAAACCCTTATGTTTCAGGGGAAAACTAACTTCTAACTAATGGGAGTTGAGAAGAAATTTTCCCTATGGGCAGGTTATTCCATAATTGCCTGTTGTGCAGTTTCTTGCACTTTCCTTTAAAGCAACTGGTACCAGCCACTGCTGGAGATAGGATACTAGACTAGCTGGACCACAGGTCTGATGCAGTATGGCAATTTCTATGACCCAAGATGCATACTTATGACTACTTTTTGAGCCTAAAATAGAACTGTCCTTTAACTACTCA